TATACACTTCTTTATTTTTGCACTAATGGAACTACTGATTTTACAGTACAGTTTCCGGGTAAATAAACACATGTTTGTGTTTCAAATAAGATTGAAATCTGTGTCTTTGTGTACTGCATAGTCAGAGCTTAACACCATTCCTTAACATTGGTTTCATTTCATCTTGGTGAACATAATGACTTTCAGAAATCGAAAGGGAAACTTTAAACATTACACTTTGCACTTTTAATTTTAGTCGACTACATCAGCTGTAGTTTTAGTCGACTGTGATCTTATGATATTTAGTCAACTAACATTAGACTAAAACTAAAATAATTAAGTTAACTAAATTATGACTGAAACTAAAATACATTTTAGTCTAAAGACTACGACTAAAACTAAATAAAGATTTGCTGTCAAAATTAACACTGGAATGAATGAATAGCCATGATTCTGGGGATTCTGAGAATGATAACCACGCGTACGGTCATTTATATGCAGACGCAATAAAACAGTCAGTTTGAGGGAAGTGGAGGTATTTACAGCTGAACAGAGTGAACGTCGATAGTCCAATAATTATGTTACAAACTATAGCTACCTAATAATTTCAAGGTAAACAACTTTATGTAATTCACTACAACTGTATTCCATTAAGAACTGGTATTCTTTGGGTAAGGTAAGGAAGGTAAACGCTTATTCGCAGGATCCGTGCCACCTTAAATATGGCATGTTATTTCGACAGAATACGGTACAGGGCACCGTGGCCAATAAGTCAGGGGCTCCGTGAACGTTTCAGCATTTCATTGTAATAAAAAATGCTAACAGTTTGAATGCTTTTGGTCACACGACCACTGACTCTGGAATTAAACTGTTATTTTAAATAAAATTAATTAAATTCGGAATCTGAGTTGTATGGTCTGCTTCATTTTTCAGATATTATTACTATTACTATTATTATATTTCATTGTATATATTTTTAAAATTTAATGCCTTCTGAAACTGGTACTCTTCCATTGACACCTATTGTGCAAACAATGCATTATCTTCCCCGGTTAAAAGCTTCTTATCAGCAGTGACGTATCTGCGAGTTTCCGCGATCTTTCCGCAGATTTCGGATCATTCCTCTTTAATTCTTCACGGCTAATGACAAAGACCGCGAATGTCAAATGCACGAATGTGAAGGGATTACTGTATAATCTTACATTGCAATACAAAGTGTCTTTATATTATTGCAGAATCTTATTCGTGTTTCTTGAGAAAATGGAGACTCCATCATTAAATTACTTTCACAAAATCAGTCTGATTCTTCATTAGTATCATCCATCCATTTTCTTTGTCTTATTCAGGATTGGGGGGGGGGGCGCAGAGCTTATCCCAGTGGCTACAGGCACAAGGCAGGGAACAACCCAGGATGGGGCACCAACCCATTGCAGGACACACTCACACCTATGGGCAGCTTGGCAACTCCAATGTACCTCAGCGTGTTTTTGGACTGTGGGGGGAGACCAGAGCACCCAGGGGAAACCCCACGATGACACGGGGAGAACATGCAAACGCCACACGGGGAATCCTGGCAGAGATTCGAACCCGGGTCCCAGACGACAGTGCTAACCACTGCACCCCCACACCATCATCAGTATCAGTGGTTGAATATTCCTCCCGTACTTCAGAAGCTGTGGCCTGTAACAAAAACATTTATGGAATGTTTGATCCCAATCCATCCATTACTTAATCACTGCTAATTAAAACTAAATAATGTCCTGGCAGTTATCTTTACAAGCCCACAAATTCACTGAAACAGTAACAGTTATAGATTGCCATGCAATGATAAGGGCACTGAATATGAAATGTCATTTAAATGTTTACCTTGTGTTCCCCCCCCCTTGTGTGCCGTACCAGGTGAGCAATGGCCTCTTCCACTGCGGAGACCGTGACCTGAGGATTGTTCCTCTGTTGTGCTCCTGAAGTACAACACAGACTTTTAAATATCTGAAAGACTAAATTGCTTATTTTAATATGATAAGGGTTTTACATGTTTACATATGTTTTATGTTTAACATACAAGGTCACCTCACAAAGAATAAAACATTAAAAGTAATGACAATAAAAATGCTGACAGCAGTAACGTCAAATGACGAGACAAATAAGAACATGACAATAATACCTATAGTGGGTTTGCCAGCCTAAGGAGGTGTTTTAAATTGTGTTATTGAGTCCAGTTGGCAGATGTGTAATTTGATGTTTAATTGGTGTCAATGTGTATCTTACTGATGAGAAGGCTGATTACTCCCAGACCCTCTATCCTATTCTGTTACTTCTAGTAACACTAAAGTCTTGCCCAGCTGGCCCACACTGTCCCTGTCGATCTCTTGGCTGAGAACAGCCTATCCTCGGAGGTGAAGGCGGCTCCTGGTTCAACAGTTGGACGTGGAGCCGGTTCCTCCTGGGCGTGTCACCTTGCTCAGTCTCCAGCGTGAAAGAACATGTCATAGCCTCCTGGCGCTGAACAGTTACTCTGATTGTCCAAGTATTTTCCCCATCAATCTTCAGTCTGACTTTATCACGAATGGTATGTGGTGGAAGTGGTTTGGCAGAGTACCTGTGGTTGTAGTACTTTTCATAGCACTGTTTTGCTTTGGCATCGTTCCTTTTAACCGTTTCCAGGTTTGGCCACGTTGGCCGCAGGTTCTCTTTCGGGACTGGCCGTGTTGTACGGATCTCTCGACCCATCAGCAGCATGGCGGGGGTTTCAATAGTTGGTTCTGTTGGGGTTGAGCGATAACTCAGAAGAGCCAGGTGTGGGTCATCCTGCATCAGTATCCATTTTGCAGTCTTCACGGCTCGTTCCGCCATGCTGTTGGATTGTGGAAAATGGGGACTTGAAGTAACATGCTGAAAATCAAACTCTGCTGCAAAGTATCTGAACTGTTCAGCTGTGAACTGAGGGCCGCTGTCTGTCATTAGCTCTTCTGGGGTTCCAAAAGGTGTGAAGATGCTTTTCAGTTTCTGTATGACCGAGTTTGAGTTTGTCTTTGGCAGATTGAAGATCTCGAGCCATCTGGAGAAATAGTCTATCATGATCAGGTAATGATGACCTTTGTACTCACAGGTAGGTCAGGCAATGGTGTAGTAAACAGTGACTCTCTGTTCTGACTTGGTCTATGGATACTGCAGAGTTTACATGACACAAGCTTTTTCACGTCACTGGCAATGCCAGGCCACCACACAGCACCTCTATATCGCTCTCCGCACTTTGTAAGGCCTTGGTGGCCCTGGTGAATCCTCTGGATCATCTTTTATCTCATACTTAACGGGATTACGATCTGCTTGCCTCGTCCCAGCAGTCCATTGGCCTTACTGAGTGAGCCACACTCTCTGAAGTATGTGCTTTTTAAAATATATATATATAAAAATATATATATATTTATTATTATTTTTTTATGTTAATAAAAATATAAGTAAATAAAATGATGGGAAAATAAAATGAAGTATGTACTTGCTTGCACCGCTACACTCTTCAAATGTCCCGGCCCGCCGTTGTTGATATACCTGAGGACACACTGGAGTTCACCGTCTGTTCTTGTCCCGTCTTTTATCTGTTCTATGGTCGGCTTCCTCACTCTCAGGTCCTCCTCCACTGAATCCACATCTGCTTTAACTTCTGCTTCTAGGTCAGCTGGATGTTGCCTAGACATGGTGTCCGCAATTAATAGGTGTTTTTCAGGGACAAATTCAGCAAGTGGGTTAAACTTCATCCACCTGATGAGCAGGCGCTGACAGCGTATGGGTGTGGAATTGATAAGGGT